TGAAGGTCCTCCTGGGGCCCTCCTCGGCCCTGTTCAAGCCATCTCGAGCCCTCTTGGGGCGTTCTGGGGGGTCTTGGGCCCTTTTCAACTGGATCGTCGTCGTCGTTGTCGTCGTCGTCGTCGTCAATCACCGTCGCCGGTCGTCGTCGCCGATCGTCGATCGCCCTGGAGCCTCCTCTTCCCCCCTCCTCCCCTCCACTCCTCCTCCCCGCCTCCTCCTCCTTTTCCTCTTCCTCCTCCTCCTCCTCCTCCTCCTCCTCCTTCGCCCTCTCCGTCTCCTCCGCGCGGAAGAAATCCAACAACATCTCGCGCAAACCAACGAACTGTGGCCCTCCAGGCCTTTTCGAATGTCCTTTTAGGGCAATTTGGGGGCCGTCCTGGGGCCCTCTTGGGCGTCCTGGGAACCTGGAAATCATGTTCCCGGAGAGGCTTTCGGGAACATGATTTTGAACGAAGCCCTCTTGGGCCTCCCTGAGGCCGTCATGGGGGCCTCCTGGGCCGGCTCTGGGGCCTCTTGGGCCGTCTTGGGGGTTTGAAGACAAAGCAAGCGAGTATGCTGAACACGTACGTTTTACGAAGGGAATGGGTATAATTTTGCCTCTGGAAGGCCCCATTGGGACCCTCTTTGGCCATCTTCAAGCCATCTCGGGCTTTCTTGGGGCGCTCTTGGGCGTCTTGGGGCCCTCTTGGGCTTCGCTGAGGCTGTTTTGTGGGCCTCTTGGGTTGTCTTTGGGGCCTCATGGGCCGTCTTGGGCGGGCTCGTGGACCCCTCAAGACGCCCGGGGCGGCCATGGGCAGGTTCGTGGACCCCACAGGACGCCCGAGGCGGCCATGCCAACCGCTGGCACCACCCCAACCCCGCCACTGGGCCTACTCCGATACATACACACATATATCTATATATCTATCTATCTATATATCTATCTATCTATCTATCGATCTATCTATCTATCTATCCATCTATCTATATATATATATCTATCTATCTATCTATCTATCTATCTATATATCTATATATCTATCTATCTATCTATCTATCTATCTATCTATCTATCTATCTATCCATCTACTCTATCTATATATATATAGTGTGTTTACATACATATGTGTATATAGAAGAGAGATAAACATCTATATAGAAAGAGATATAGCAAGGGGGGAGAGAAGTGCAGGCATGGAGGGCGGAGGGAAGAGGCAAAGGGCAGGGGGTGCGCAACAACATAGTTCTGAAACGCACGCAAGAATCTCCATGGTGAAAAAAACCAAGGTGCGAGCTCTGGAAGGGGCACTTCGCTTGTAAGAGCACATGTTACCGCAGGGGGATCAGCGATCGTACCCCGTTCGGGGGTCATATGTCTTCCTTACCAGCCACGTTTCGGAGGCGTGTCCTCTAGAGTAGCAGCAGGAAGGAAGCGGGGGAAGAGGAAAGGAGGAGGCCACGAGAACGGCAGGGTGCAAGAGGAAGGGATGATGATTGAGGGCGAAAAGGACTTCGCAAAAGGGGGTTGTGTACGGAGCTTTGGTTTGGGCAACCGGACCCCGAGGATCCTAACAGGCGTGACGGCCGGGCGGGCGCATCTCCAAGCGCGCAGAAGCTGTGAAGATGCCTCAGGCGAGAGCACGAGTCCTGAGCGAGCTGCGAAGTGTGGTGCGAGAGCGCGATCCCTGGACGTCGAGAGCGCGGCGCCGTCGTAAATTGCCGGGCAGTCCTACGCGGGAGCGCGAGTCCAGGGTAAATTGTGAGGAAGTCTCGAGCGCAAGCGTGATTTTGAAAACATTGCGAAGGCGAAGTATGTGGGACTCGTTGCTGCTGTCAACCGGGGGCCAGGGGCGCAGTTTGAGCCTAAACAGTTTCCCTTACGAAAGACAGGGTGCGAGCGCTGGGGGAAAGCCTTTCACATGAAGCATGTAATGGGCACCAGAGCGGGGGAAGCAATAATACATTATCATCCGACGATAAAGCGCAATAGCAAACCACCATAACAACAACACTAAGAATCCGCGTCGCGGAATCCGACTTCACCAACGCGCCCAGACCATTCGGTTCCCCAGACCAGTCGGCCCCCTCACTCTGATGACCATCAAAAGATGGCACGCGGCATTCACATCGTATCTCGAGGGGTCCTCGCGGCTCTCTTGGGTCTGCGCTGCACCCTTCTCCCCGCACCCGTTCCCTGGCGCGCGGAGCGCGCCAGGGGCGGTGCCAGAGGCGCCGCCAGGGATGTGGTGAGGACTCCGTCCGACCCAAAACCCAAGCTCGGTGGCGGGATGGGCCGACGGCTATTTGATAGCTGGCACACGCGCCGCGCCACGACTTTCGATGCCGCGCACCTCTTCGAAAAACTCCCAGGGAGCGGCCGGGGATGCGCCGCCGGCGTCCTCGTGTGGTGAGGAAATCCGATCGCCGACCCAGGGAATCCGCACGGATCTGCGAGAGCTTGGGCTCCCTCCGTCGGCACTCGTCACACGCTACGGTCGGGGACTCTGGGGCAGCGTGTCACCGCGGCGGCCCCAGCGACACGCTGCGCTTTGTTTGCGAGTGGATGGCGTATCGTCCCGCTCCGCGGGGCGGGAGACTCCGAAAAGGCTCAGGACGCTGGCGCTGGGGGGGCTGGGAGCGGACAGCGCGTTGCGCCGCAGCGCGGCGGGCCAGAATCGGCGGCGTGACGAGCGATGCCGAAATTCCCGACCGTAGAAGAACATAATTATCCCAGAGCGGCCCTACCTAGGAGTTGGAGCCCCGAGGAGAGCAATATCAGTAGTAACGGTAAACGCCGTCCTCCTCCTTCTCCTCATCGTCGCAGTTGTAGCAGCAGTAGTAGCAGTAGTAGTAGTAGTAGTAGTAGTAGTAGTAGTAGTAGTAGTAGTAGTAGTAGTAGTAGTAGTAGTAGTAGTAGTAATAGTAGTAGTAGTAGTAGTAGTAGTAGTAGTAGTAGTAGTAGTAGTAGTATGGTAGTAGTAGTAGTAGTAGTAGTAGTAGTAGTAGTAGTAGTAGTAGTAGTAGTAGTAGTAGTAGTAGTAGTAGTACAGCTTGATACCTACATTTACATCTAGACCTACATCCACATCCACACCTACAGCTACAGCTGCATGTACACATGCATATACATCTATATCTACATCTACAACTGCACTCACATCTACATCGACATCTACACCTACATATACACCTACATGTACATCTACATTTACATCTACAGCTACACCTACATCCACATATACACCTACACCTACATCTAAATCTACATATACACCTTCGCACTGGTTTTGCGTGTGCTTTGCATTGCCTTTGCTATTGCTCTTGCCTTTGTTGTTGCCTTTGCCTTTGCTTTTGCTTTTGCTGTTGCTGCTGCTGTTGGTTTGCGTGTGTTGTCGCTTTTGCTTGCGTTTGCTTTTGCTTTGCCTTCGCACGCACACGCAGCTATGCTATGCTATGCTATGCTGCGCTATGCTGCGCTATGCTCGGCGATGCTAGGCTATGCTAGGCTATGCTATGCTATGCTGCGCTATGCTATGATATGCTATGCTATGCAGCGCTATGCTGCGCTATGCCATGCTATGCTATGCTACGCTATGCCATGCTATGTTATGCTATGCTGCGCTATGCTATGCTATGCTATGCTATGATATTATATACTATGCTGCGCTGCGCTGCGCTGTGCTAAGCTAGGCTATGCTAGGCTATGCTATGGTATGCTGCGCTATGCTATGCTATGCTGTGCTGTGCTATGCTATGCTGCGCTATGCTATGATATACTATGCTATGATATGCTATGCTATGCTATGCTAACGCTGCGCTGCGCTAAGCTGAGCTGAGCTAAGCTAAGCTGGGCTAGGCTAGGCCAGGCTAGGCTAAGCTAAGCTAAGCTAAGCTAGGCTAGGCTAGGCTAAGCTAAGCTAAAGTTAAGCTAGGCTAAGCTAAGATGAGATGAACAACGCTAAGCTACGGGGACGTAACTGGGGGAACCGCGGGGCGGATACTGGGGGAACCGCCCGGGGCGCTTTCCACTGCCCGGCCCCTTTAAGCCCAGAGAGTAAGAACCCTTCTAGGCAGAGCCTAGGTAGGGAATAAAAGACGAGCGAACAACACAGACACACACGCACGCACGCACACACACACACACACACGCACGCACGCACACATACACTCCCTCACACAAACGCAGACGCACACAAACACACACAGACACATACACGCACGCACGCACGCAAGCACGTACGCACGCACGCACGCACCCACACACACGCACACACGCACGCACGCACGCACGCACTCACGCACGCACGCACGCACGCACACACGCACACCCACACCCACGCTTACACACACACGCACACCCACACACACACACCCACACCCACACCCACACCCACACCCACACCCACACCCACACCCACACCCACTTCCACACCCACACCCACACCCACACCCACACCACACACACACACACACACACACGCACGCACGGACACGCACACACGCACACACACACACACACGCAAACACACACGCAAACACACACACACTCACACTCACGCACGCACGCACGCACGCACAGACACAGACACAGACACAGACACAGACACAGACACAGACACACACACACACACACACACACACGCAGAGCACGCACGCACGCACACACAGACACAGAAACAGACACAGACACAGACACAGACACAGACGCAGACACTGATACAGACACAGACACAGACACAGATACAGACACACACACACAAACACACATACACACGCACACGCACACGCACACGCACACGCACACGCACACACCCAAACCCATAGAGGGGTGTCGGAGGGAGGAGGACTGGCTGTGGGTATGGGTGCGGGCTGTCGGTGCCTGGGGGAGGCGCCCCTTCCGAGCGGGGACCCCCAACTCCGACGACACGCCCCCACAACTGGCCCTTCGTCCCCCCTGTGGGTATGGGTGCGTCGCGCTCGCTCGTCAACTTAGGAGGCGTGGCGCCCCTGCTCCAGTGGCCTGGCAGCCTGCAGCCGCAGCGGGCAGCGGCGGCGCGGGCGACGCGCCGCCGGGCGCGGCCTCCGCGGCGGTGGCGGCGGCGGCGGCCGCGACGCGCGTGCTGCGGCGCACGCTCGTGGCCGGGAGGGCGGCCGCCGCGCAAGAATCGCCCGCTTTCGGTGACAGTTCCGCAACAACTCGTAGGAGCCTCCCATACCATGTTGTTGGCTCAAGCTTGCGGATCGACGCCGATCGACGCTAGTCGACGCTGAATCGGCTCATCGCCGCTCACCGACGCTAAGCCGGCGCTCTCGCATCGATTCCCGGACGCTCATCGGCGCTGGTGCACTCACAAGACGGAAATGCGAGGGCACTCGAGGCCCCCAGGACTTGCGACCGAACGGTGACAGCGTCAGCGCCGCCAGCGCGCCCGACAGCTGGTCGCACTCCGGGTCCTCCGCGCCCGGCGACAGCGTCAGCGCCTCCAGCGCTCCAGCCAGCTGGCCGCAGCCGGGCTCCTGCCCGGGGGCGGGCGACGGCGCCAGCCCACCCAGCGCCCGGCGCTCCAGGCGCGCGAAGGCGGAGCCCTCACCGAAGGAGCACCGCGGCCACGGCAGCCGCGGTGCCTCCGGCTCCTGGCCCTCAGTGGCCTTCTGGTGCGACTTGAGCTCGCTGCGGAAGCGCAGGTGCTCGAACACGCGGAAGAACTCCACCGTGTAGCTGTCCGCCAACTCCCGGTCACCACGCACCACGAGCATGTTCTCGTCGTTCGACTCCATCGACGCCCTGGAGAAGTTCGCGGAACCCGACACCACGATCGGGTTGTCAGAGAGGGGGTCCACTAGCAAGATCTTGGTGTGGATGAATTTGACATGGTTGTTCAGGCCTGACAGGTTCTCCTGCATCCAGCCGTTGCCTTCCGACTGGTCGAGAAGGGCACCAGTGGCCACCCTCACATTCGGCCTACGCCGCAACTCCCTGACCGTATCCCGCGACGAGGCCCAATTGCCCTCGCCCTCCAAGAGAATGTATTTGATCACTGTCGCGTCGCCACCAAGAAGGGCTGGTTAGAAGGAGAAACAACGGCATAAAGATAAACTGTTGACGGCCCGCGCGGATTTATTGGATCTGCGCTGGACCCCCCTCCCTGGCGCGCGGAGCGCGACAGGGGCGGGGCCAGAGGCGCTGCAGAGGCGCTCCAGCGCAGATCCAACAAGAATCCGCGCGGACCGTCGAAAGTTGTATGTTTATGCAATTGTTTCTGCTTCGGCTGGTGCCATCTCCTTGCTGATGCCGAAGGCAGCCGTGAAGGCCACGCCCTGCTTGGCGCCAGCCACCAACTGCGCCAGGAACTCGAGCGCCGATGCCCACTGCAGTCGCGGGGAGAAGAAAGCCAGCGCGCTGGTCTCCTCTGAACAAGCAGCCCACTCCTTTAGAGTGAGGGACCGACTACAGAATTGATTTACCTCACACTTGATTTCCCGTCGAATCTACGAACCAATACGAAGCATGCTCCGTAGACCCACGGACCATTCAACGTATTTTCCGCAGATTCGACGGAACAATCGAGTTTGGGGTGAGTCAATTCTGTAGTCGACCCCCTACTCGATCCTTCGCGGCTGGGAGCGGCGAGCGCCGGTCGTTGAAAGCGGCCATGTCCTTCTTGTCGGGGTCATCCTTCAGCCTCTCCCAGTACTCCAGGTACTGCCTGCAGACACCAGCGTCCCGAACGACGTGGCCCACGTTTGAGTGCCCAAAAATGGCTCCTGTAGTGATGTTCGTGGACCCTGTCCAGACGGCTATCGGCTGGTCCCCCCGCACGAGCACGAAAAACTTGTTGTGGCTGATGGCCGTGAGGGGCCTTGTACGCCGGAAAACGCAGCCGGCTTCCATCAAGCCGGCCTCCTCCAGGGCCCAGCCGTTCATGTGCTGTGGGCCGCGCTGTGTCCAGGACCGCCTCTCATCCGACCACGCTCCAGGCTTCCAGTCCACGGTCAGCTGCACGTCGACGCCGCGCTCCCGCGCTGCAGCCAACCCTCGCATCACGGGCATATAGTACGCCTCGTAGAGCGCGCACCGGAGCTTCCAGCCTGGCCCCTCAGCAAGGCTTAGGAAGTGCAGCAGCGCCTCTTCGAGCCCGCGCGAGAGCCAGGACCACTGCTCGGGCGTCTGGGGGCCCTTGTCCTTGACGTCTGGGAAAAGGTGGCAAAACCGCTGAGAACCTGCGGCTTGGGGACGACCAGGGGGTCTGAATTGGCTGGGGCCCCAGAAGACACGTCAAGACGGGGGGGGTGGAGGCAACTCCGCTCAGAATCTGTCCCCGGACCCCTCCCAGGGCTGCCCTGGAGTTTTTCATCCCGGATCCGTTTTTGACGGTCCAGGGGCTGCAAACGGCCACAGGGGGCCGAAAACAGCAGAACCCTTCCCGACCCCAGAACCTCGCACCTGCCGTCCCCTCCTGCTGGCCAAAACCAGTGCTGGGCCACCTCAGACACTGAAGGCCTCTTCGAGATGAGGTCCGACTTGGTTATTCTTAAATCTGCCCAGGGCGTTTGTTTTACAGACTCTGTTTTAAGCTCGGCGTTTTGGAAAAAAAGTCGTTAAGCGCTTGTAGGTCCCAATGAGAAAACTGCACAGCGATAAAACCACGATCCATTGTTTGCGTTTTTACCTCCGTGTTTATACTGTTTTCAGATCAGCCGGTTGCATCGCTTAACGTTGCCATCTGCGACGTTCTCAGTTCCTTCTCCTGGCGTACAGTCCTCAGCCCTCCAGCTCTCTCAGTCTAACTTCGGGGAGACGTAAGACCCGGGTACGGGGGACTTGGAAATCCCCGACGAGGTCGTCAAAAAAATGACGAGGCCGACCCTGCATTTTGACGAGGCCTCCCGCGGCAGACATCCCACGAAACTCCTCCTCGTCAAAATCCGAGGCGCGGTCGTCAAAAAACGATGGCGAACCCGAGTCCTGGCAAACCCGGGTCTTACGCTCCCCCGAGAACTGCTCGTCGTCCTCGGAGCCCCTCCTCTGAGGCGTCGGGCCTCCGGGCCCCGGTGGCCGACCGAACCCCTCTTGGAGCCATCGGGCCTCCGGGCCCGTGTCGGGCCGGTGCTCGACCGGTGTTAAGAGCGTGGTTTTGTTTGTTTGTTGTTGTTGTGGTTGTTGTTGATGTTGTTGTTGTTGAACATTATTACTTCTAAAGAATAATTGTTGTTGGGGCCCCTGGTGCACGACCCCCCCGCCGCGCCTAGGCCGCAGCCTCATTTTCATCATTTTCGTGAGGAAGTCTCAAGCAAAACGGGGGAGTCCGGATCCGGTTGTGTTGTTACGATCGGTTTTCCCTGGCAAAAAATAAGCTAAAGTGGACATTTCTTGTTCTTACATAACCAAACTTCAAGAATCCCTTGCAAAAAATAAGGTAAAGTGGACATTCGCGCGCGCAAGACGAAATCCTTGCAAAACCTTAGTTTTCGTAGCGAATTTAACATAAAAACATCAAAAAATTCAATGGTTTTTCAAACAAAAATTGTCAACATTTCATCCCGCGCGCTCTTGCGGATTTGTAGGAAACCCAACACTTTTTAATCATTTCTGTCAAACGGGTTTTTGCGAGCAACTTTTTCACGTGCTTCGAACTTCTGCAACAACGGTTGCGCACCTGCCAGGGCCATCATCCCTGTCAAAAAATACCATGCGGGACACATTCGTTTTTTCTTCGCGCGCGCACGCCGTCGTCGTCGGCCGCGGGGCCCTGAATAGTAGCCGCGGTCGTCCGCATGCCACGAAGTGAAGTGTCCGAACGTCATAGGGCGGGAAGCTGGGTGTGGGTGGTGGCGAAGAGTCGTTTGGAAATTTGGTAGAGCTTGAACCGGCCCCCCCACAAAGTGGGGGTATTGCCCGCCTCCTATGAAAACCCTGGCACTGGTGAGAACGGAGTGTCCCCACGTGCTAGTAATTGTTGTTGTTGTTGTTGTTGAACATTATTTCTTCTTAAGAATAATTATTGTTGGGGCCCCTGGTGCGCGACCCCCCTCCAAAACCTAGGCCGCAGCTACATTTTCATCATTTTTTCGCAGAAGCTTCAGAAAAGTGGATTATGTCCGGATCCGGTTGTTTTGTTCCCCCCCGCTTTCCCTTGCAAAAAACACTATAAAATGAAAATTCTTGTTCTTACTTGATCAAATTGCAAGAATCCCTTGCAAAAAATAAGGTAAAGTGGACATTCGTGCGCGCAAGACGAAATCCTTCCAAAACCTTAGGTTTCGTAACGATTTTAACATAAAAACATCAAAAACCCAATGGTTTTTTTAAGAAAAAATTGTCAAAATGTCCTTCCGCGCGCGCTGTCCGAATCCCACAAAACCAATGGTTTTTCAACATTTATGTTACATGAGCTCGCGCGAGCTACTTTTTCTTGTTCTAACATAATCAAATTTCAATAATCCCTTGCAAAAAATAAGGTAAAGTGGACATTCGCGCGCGCAAGACGAAATCCTTCCAGAACCTTAGGTTTCGTAACGATTTCAACATAAAAACATCAAAAACCCAATGGTTTTTCAAAAAAAAATGTCCAAATTTCATCCCGCGCGCGCTGTCCGACTCCCACAAAACCAATGGTTTTTCAACATTTATGTTACATGAGCTCGCGCGAGCTACTTTTTCTTGTTCTAACATAATCAAATTTCATTCCCTTGCAAAAAAAAGTAAAGTGGACATTCGCGCGCGCAAGACCAACAAAAAACACGACGATCTCAGGAACTTGCCCCAAAAATGTGACCAACTCCGCTCTCTCTGTCTCTCTCTCTGTCTGCTCTCTGTCTCTCTCTCTGTCTGTCTGTGTCATGTATTGTATGTCACAATTGCAGGATGCTGGGCACACGCGCGCCCCGAATAAGTGACCAAGTTCTGTGGGTGTGTACCCCACGCCAGTGTAGTAGCCACGGTCGTCCGCACGCCACGAAGTGAAGTGTCCCAACGTCATAGGGCGGGAAGCTGGGTTTGGGTGGTCGCGAAGAGTCGTTTGGATATTTGGTAGAGCTTGAACTGCCCCCCCACGAAGTGGGGGTATTGTCTCGCGTCGCATGAAAACCCTGGCACTGGTGAGAACACTGAGCGTTCGGGTAAAATGATTGTTGTTGTTGTTGTTGTTGTTGTTGAAGATTATTACTTCTAAAGAATAATTATTGTTGGGACCCCTGGTGCACGACCCCCCCGCCGCGCCTAGGCCGCAGCCTCATTTTCATCATTTTCGTGAGGAAGTCTCAGGCAAAACGGGTTGGTCCGGATCCGGTTGTGTTGTTACGATCGGTTTTCCCTTGCAAAAAATAAGCTAAAGTGGACATTTCTTGTTCTAACATAACCAAACTTCAAGAATCCCTTGCAAAAAATAAGGTAAAGTGGACATTCGCGCGCGCAAGACGAAATCCTTCCAAAACCTTAGTTTTCGTAGCGATTTTAACATAAAAACATCAAAAAACCAATTTTTTTTTTTTTAGATGTCAAAATTTCATCCCGCGCGCTCTTGCGGATTCGTAGGAAACCCAACACTTTTTAAACATTTCTGTCAAACGGGCTTTTGCGAGCAACTTTTTCGAACTTCTGCAACAACGGTTGCGCACCTGCCAGGGCCATCATCCCTGTCAAATAATACCATGCGGGACACATTCGTTTTTTCTTCGCGCGCGCACGCCGTCGTCGTCGGCCGCGGGGCCCTGAATAGTAGCCACGGTCGTCCGCATGCCACGAAGTGAAGTGTCCGAACGTCATAGGGCGGGAAGCTGGGTGTGGGTGGTGGCGAAGAGTCGTTTGGAAATTTGGTAGAGCTTGAACCGGCCCCCCCACAAAGTGGGGGTATTGCCCGCCTCCTATGAAAACCCTGGCACTGGTGAGAACGGTGTGTCCCCACGTGCTAGTAATTGTCTCTCTCCACTGGCTCTCTGTCTTGCTCTCTCTCTCTCTCTCTCTCTCTCTGTCTCTCTGTACTATGTATGTCATACGCAACAAATGCACCATGCGGGGCACATGCGGGGCCCAAACAAGTGATCAACCTCTGCGGGTGTGTACTCCACGCCAGTGTAGTATCCACGATCGTCCGCGCGCCACGAAGTGAAGTGTCCTGACGTCATAGGGCGGGAAGCTGGGTGTGGGTGGTTCCCGAGAGTCGTGTGGATGTTTGGTAGAGCTTGCATTGCCCCCCCACGAAGTGGGGGTATTGGCTGGCGTCGCATGAAAACCCTGGCACTGGGGAGAACACTGAGCGTTCGGGTAAAATGATTGTTGTTGTTGTTGTTGCTGTTGTTGTTGTTGTTGTTGTTATTGTTGTTGTTGTTATTGTTGTTGTTGTTAGTGTTGTTGTTGTTATTGTTGTTCTTGTTGTGCTTCCTCTTTTTTGCATGTTTTAGCTCTGCAAGGGTGAACGGCGGCAGAAACGAAAAGTGGGAGTGAAGACCGCAGGACAAGGAACGGCCTTGGCCCAGAAAGCAAACAAACGATAAATCAATGATGATCCACAGCGAAGGGCCTAACAAGGCCAACACAGCGGAACTAACAACGCTAAGACAATCTAAAACACCATCTCGTTTTTCTAGCGTGGTTAGCTTGTCAAGAGCCCAAAGTGCAACACTGTAAAACAAATGCCCAGGGCGTCATCAAGAAGAACCAAGGGGTCCGATTAGATGGGGTCGGAGGACCGCGCCACATCGCCAATGCATCGGCGATGCATCGGTGATGCATCGTCGCCGTCGGCGATGCGTCGGCGATATCGACGTGGAGAAAAAATAGGCTCCACATCGAGCCGCATCGCCGATGCATCGGCGATGCGGCGCGATCCTCCGACCCCATCTTTAGGTCGGGCATGTCCCCCTACAGGCAGATGTTCGAGGGAAGATGAACAC